CAGTGGTACCCACCCCATCAGGGAATATGCTCAGTGGTACCCACTCCCTAAGGGAAGATGCTCAGTGGTACCCACTCCCTAAGGGAAGATGCTCAGTGGTACCCACTCCCTAAGGGAAGATGCTCAGTGGTACCCACCTCATCAGGGAAGATGCTCAGTGGTACCCACTCCCTAAGGGAAGATGCTCAGTGGTACCCACTCCCTAAGGGAAGATGCTCAGTGGTACCCACTCCCTAAGGGAAGATGCTCAGTGGTACCCACCTCATCAGGGAAGATGCTCAGTGGTACCCACTCCTTAAGGGAAGATGCTCAGTGGTACCCACTCCCTAAGGGAAGATGCTCAGTGGTACCCATTCCCTAAGGGAAGATGCTCAGTGGTACCCACTCCCTAAGGGAAGATGCTCAGTGGTACCCACCCCATCAGGGAAGATGCTCAGTGGTACCCACTCCGTAAGGGAAGATGCTCAGTGGTACCCACTCCCTAGGGGAAGATGCTCAGTGGTACCCACTCCCTAAGGGAAGATGCTCAGTGGTACCCACCCCATCAGGGAAGATGCTCAGTGGTACCCACTCCTTAAGGGAAGATGCTCAGTGGTACCCACTCCCTAGGGGAAGATGCTCAGTGGTACCCACTCCCTAAGGGAAGATGCTCAGTGGTACCCACTCCCTAAGGGAAGATGCTCAGTGGTACCCACTCCTTAAGGGAAGATGCTCAGTGGTACCCACTCCCTAAGGGAAGATGCTCAGTGGTACCCACCCTGTCAGTGAAGATGCTCAGTGGTACCCACTCCCTAAGGGAAGATGCTCAGTGGTACTCACTCCCTAAGGGAAGATGCTCAGTGGTACCCACTCCCTAAGGGAAGATGCTCAGTGGTACCCACCCCGTCAGGGAAGATGCTCAGTGGTACCCACTCCCTAAGGGAAGATGCTCAGTGGTACCCACCCCATCAGGGAAGATGCTCAGTGGTACCCACTCCCTAAGGGAAGATGCTCAGTGGTACCCACTCCCTAAGGGAAGATGCTCAGTGGTACCCACTCCCTAAGGGAAGATGCTCAGTGGTACCCACTCCCTAGGGGAAGATGCTCAGACCCCCTCCCACAGCACGCTCATAGGAAAGGATGCTTGACAAAAGCCACCCCCCAAAGTGGTTTGTGCCCCCCCCCCATCTCCCCAAAAAGCTCCTGGCTGAGCTACAGCCCCATTTACAGCCGCCCCCCCCCAGGCTGTGGTTACAGGAGCTCAGACAGGAGGGAATAAAGAGAAAATGAAGAAAGCAAAAAGCTCTTTGCAGCCAGTTCCTGGCAGAAAGATCCATCAAGGCCATTAGGCACAGAGCATCTCCTCCCTGAGAGCTGGGGCTGTGGAGAGCATCACGGGGGGGGCTGGATCCCCACATCCCCCCCGATGGTGTCCAGCCAAGAGCTCCATGAGCACCCCATGTCAGTAAATGAAAGACACATGGGTGGAGTTGGGGGGCACAAGGGACCACCCCTCCGACCATCCCCCTGCACCAATGGAGGGGGGCACTTATAGGGACAAGGGGGGCGCCAATGGGGAGAGGGGGGCGCCAATGGGGGGGAGGGGCGCCAATGGGGGGGGTGGGGCGCCAATGGGGGGGTGCCAATGGGGGGGCGCCAATGGGGGGGGCAATGGGGATGGGCAGGGGCCAATGGGGATGGGGGGGCCAATGGGGATGGGGGGGGGCAGTGGGGATGGGGGTGGAGCCAATGGGGAGGGGGTGGAGCCTCTTCTTCCTCTTCTGCCTTTCCTCCTCCTTCTTCTCTTTTTCTTCCTCTTCTCCTCTTCCTCCTCTTCTTCCTCCTCTTCCTCTTCTTCCTCTTCTTCCTTTCCTCCTTGTCCTTTTTCTCCTTTCTCCTCCTTCTCCTTTTCTTCCTCTTCTCCTCTTCTTCCTCCTCTTCCTCTTCTTCCTCTTCTTCCTCTTCTTCCTCTTCTTCTTCTCCTTTCTCCTTCTCCTCTTCTTCCTCTTCTTCCTCTTCTTCCTCCTCTTTCTCTTCTTCCTCTTCTTCCTTTCCTCCTTCTCCTTCTTCTCCTCTTCTTCCTCTTCTCCTCTTCTTCCTCTTCTTCCTCCTCTTTCTCTTCTTCCTCTTCTTCCTTTTCTCCTTGTCCTCCTTCTTTCTCCTTCTCCTCTTCTTCCTCTTCTTCCTTTCCTCCTTGTCCTTCTTCTCCTTTATCCTTCCCCTTCTCCTTTTCTTCCTCTTCTCCTCTTCTTCCTCTTCTTCCTTTCCTCCCTTTCCTCCTTGTCCTTCTCCTTCTTTCTCCTTCTTTCTCTTTGTCCTTCTTCTTTCTCCTTCTTCTCCTTTTCTTCCTCTTCTCCTCCTCTTCCTCTTCTTTTCCTCTCCTCTTCTTCCTCCTCCTCTTCCCAGGAGCAAACCAAGGGCCCTGCTCCCTCTCCCTGTCCTTGCTCCTTCCCCTGCTCCTTGTCCCTGTCCCTGCCTTGCCGATGATGGGGATTGGGGTCAATCCCTGCCCTCATCACCCCAAAAGATGCTGGTCCCACACGCAGGGTGATGAGCGCATCCTTGTGCCACCCTCCTATGGGTACCAAGCACAGGGATTGGTCCCGAAGATCCTGTAGGCTTTATATCCATGCAGAGCTGGGCTCTGCATCCCATAATGAGGGGAAAGGGGGAGATGTGGAGCTGAAATGGGGGGGACCCCCCCACCCCAACAAGGGGAGCCGGGGGTAAAGGGTAAGCACCCCAGTGCCCATGAGCCCACCCCGGGTTGATGCTGCCCTGGATCCTCTGTTCCCAAAGCATCCAGGTCCTCCTGGGTACCAATCCCCTTGGATTTAGGGCAGTGGCTGCCTCTTCATCCCCTTCTCCTCCCCTTTTCCCAATGGTGATGGCTCCATCCGTGGCTTTATGGGACACAGAGCAGGGATAACGCACCTGGGATTGCATTGGGGCTGCAGGGGGAAGCGAAGCACAAGGCTGGCTTTTGGGGTTCCTATGGGGATATATATTCCCAGGCTATTTTCTTTGGAAAAAAGCAGGATTTTGGGGCTTGGAAAAGGCTTCCAGCAGGCTCATAAACTTGTGCTGTTATGGTGGGAAGGGATGCACCCAGCCAGGCTTTCCCATTGCATCCTATGGGATGCTGGAGCGTTGGAATGGAGCCATTGGGATGTGTTTGCATCCCATGGGGTAGACCTGTTGTCCAGCCCTGTGCGAGCAGCAGATAGGGATTGGAAAGGGAGAAGATCCAGCATAGAACAGAATTCCAGCTGTCAGGAAAGCACAACTCCACCTACATGAATAGGATGAATAATAAAACCCATGGAATGTGCTGGATCTATCAGCAAAGCCAGGAATTCCTCCATAAATTAGGGCTGGAATGCGGCACCGAGCGGCTTTGCCTCTTCCCTGCATCCCAAAGACATCCGCACATCCTCCTTTGGGATGCTGCCATCCCCACCTGGAGCTGGCTATGGTTAGAAGGGGAAATGTGCTTTCCCCATAGCTCCTTCCCTTGGCTCTTTGTGGCTGCGAGGCTGAAACCCTCTGGAATGCTTTAGGAATGTGGGAGGGAATCCACCATAGCCAGAGCTTCCAATGGGGAATAGGGGCTGTGTGGATGCTGGAAGCCTAAAGGCTCAAGAGGGGATCGCAGCATTTCCACGCTGGATCAAGTGTTCCGTCCCCTTTGGATGCTGGGAATGGGAGCTCTTGTTAGCACTGGGGTGTTGAAAGGGGCCCATTATCCTTTGGGATTTTCCAGCAGGAATGACAGCCTGAGAGGCACTGGGAGTGCAATGAACCTCATCCATGTCCATGTTTTCCTTGGAAAACCAGCATCCCTTTACAAGGCCCAGTGCTTGCTCCCTGCTGGATGCAGGATGGAGGGATGCATTGGGATGCTCAACGTGATCCAGGTTGGTCACAAGGGGCTTGGAGCAAACTGCTTGAAGTGGAAGATATCCCTGGATGAGGGAACTGGAAGAGCTTTAAGCTCCCTTTATCCCAACCATGATTCCATGCAAGTCAGCTCCATGGTGGGATGGGGACCACATCCCGATGCTGGCCCTAACGCTGGGGGCTGAGGGCTTCCAAAGCAGGACTGCCGGCTCCCTCTAGGGCCGAAGGGAAGGAAAAGGCACTTCCAAGCCTTGCTCCTAAAACCCTGCGGTTGGAATCCGGTCTTTTCTGGGATCATGGAGCCGGGATGCGGCTCCTAAGCACAGTGGATGTGGTGTGATGCTGCCTGCAGGTCCTTGCGGCTGGAAGCCTGTAGTTAAATATTCCCGTTGTAAGGAATAGCTTCATCTCCAAGGGAGGACAATCCCAAGTGGAATCCTGTCCCCACAGCCCTGAGCTGGTTCAATCCCACCTTGTCCCATTTGTCCTTGTCCTGCAGCACAATCCCATTGGGATCAATGGGATTTGTGCTCTTGGTGCGGAGCCGGAGCTCTGGAGACCTCCCTGAGCACGGAGGATGAGGAAGGGATGGGACCAGCATCCGACATCCAACACCCATGGAATCCCTCCTGGAGAGCACTGGGAATGGGGAGCGGTGGGAATGGAGACCTGGGAGGAAGGGGGTACCCCGAGCTTATCCCATGGGAGCTCCGAACCCAGGCTTAGCTCTCGCTTCCCATCACAAAGGGCCCCATCCCTGTGTATCCGGATGGGACCAGCATCTGACATCCAACACCCATGGAATCCCTCCTGGAGAGCACTGGGAATGGGGAGCAGTGGGAATGGAGACCTGGGAGGAAGGGGGCACCCAGAGCTTATCCCATGGGAGCTCCGATCCCAGGCTTAGCTCTTGCTTCCCATCACAAAGGGCCCCATCCCTGTGGATCCGGATGGATCCATCCCATTCCCCAGGGATGGATCCGCAGCTCCAGAAGGAGAATCCCAAAGGAAAGGCGATAAAGGAGCTTCCCGGGGAGGCTTTCCCAGCCTCATTCCTCACTCTTGGCCAAAGCCACCTCATTGAGCAAGAGGGATTTCCATGAGCAAACTTCCTGCAGGGAGCAAAGGGCATTGGGATCAGCACGGCCCTGGGGAGCCCATAGGGAAGAAGAGGAGGGTAAAGGCAAGCTGAAGGAGGTACCCGGCTTGGGATGAGGTGCTGGGAGCAGGATTGGGATGCAGGACACCTCCATAAGGGGATGCCAGAGCCGCTTGTGCTCCCATGGATGCATCCATGTGCTGCTTCCTGGAGCTGAAGGCCTCATCCTGCAGCTTCCCCTGCTCTATCCCTAGGGAATGGCGGCCACCACGGTGACGGATGCTGGAGGGGTGCGCATCATCACGGAAGTCATCCCAGCCTCCGACCCCCGTGTGGCCCAGTTGGCTCCCAGCTCCAGGCCGGCGGCAGCACCGGTGTCATTCCAAGTGCGGGGCTTCCGAAGGGCTCAGCCCAAGGCGTTGGGGGTGAGAGATGGCAATTCCCAAGGGATGGGGCACTTGGGGTGCGTATCCCATGGGAACGGCCTGCTGGAGGGTCTCCTTGATTGGTGGTTGGTTGGGGTGATGGAGGTGGGATGCTGGTGATGCCCGATCCTTCCTTAGACCATCCACATCCTCACTGGGATCATCCACATCTGCTTTGGGATCATCCTGACGGCAGCGGAGCATCAGAAACCTGCCCTCCCCGTGGCCAGTGGGGTCCTCTTCTGGCTGGGGCTCCTGGTAAGCAGGGATGTGCTTGGAATCCATCTCCTCATTATCCAATGAGGACAAAGGGATCCGGGTGGATGCGGGAGCAGATCCCGTTGTCACCCACGTCTCCCACTCTCCATCCCAAACACGATTCCCAGTGGGATGGGCACTGGGATGAGCGGGATGGGAGAGGAGCATCCCTGCTGATGCCTCTGTTCCCTGAGCAGCTCCTGGTCTCGGGCTCTCTGCTGGTGGAAAGCGAGAAGCGAGACAGCATCCTCCTGGTGAGGGGGGATCCCTTGGGTTGGGGGGAGCATCTCCCATTGCTTCCATGCCTCCTGCTCCTTCCAGTGGTGCTGGGATCCATCCTATGGGATTCACCCCATAGGATCCAAGGCAACGCTTGCCCCGTGCTTGGGAGTCTGGGTCTCTATGAAGGGCTTGGTGTGGTGATGGGGACAAAGGGCACACACAGAGGGGATGCTCTGGGCGGCTTCTCCAAGAGTAGACTGGATCCCAGTGGAATAATCCACACTGGAACGCTCAGGGAGCTGCTCCCAGGGTCTCCATGGCAACGGGAAGGGATGGAGCCGCTGACGGAGGGGGGCCTCACGCAGGTCAAGACGTGCTGCGTGCTCAATGCCGGCCTCATCCTGAGCACGCTGGTGGCCGCCCTGCTCCACAGCACGGCCATCACCCGCGACAGCCCCGGCTGCGAGCCCAGCACTGGGATCCAGCTCAGAGCCGAGTGGTGCTGGCACAGCGAGAGCAAGGTTAGAACCACCCCCCCCCTGCCCTTGTCCCGATGGGATGCAGGGTCCCCGCCTCCATCCGTGCGGCACAGCCGTTGCCAGGCAACGGAGAGGGGATGCAGGTCCCGCTCCTCGCAGCTCCTGAGCAATGGGATGGATTCCCTGCTCGTGGTCTTCATCCTGCTCGAGTTCTGCGTGGCCGTGGCGGTGCTGGCCTTTGGGTACCACGCTGTCAAGCAGCACAGCTACACCCGCATGGTGAGGGGTTAACACCAGAGCATTCGGGATGCTGGATCCGGCATCCCATGGGATCAGGGCAGATTTCCCTCCTCAGAGGGGCTCCCCAGCATCCTCTTTATGGCTCCCAAAGCGGGATTCCACCCTTTATCCTCTCCTTTAGGTGATGTAGCCATGGCCAGGCACGGAGCCATCACTATTGAGAGCTGCATCCGCGATGCTGGAGCCCCTGAGATGCTCCCTGATCCCTGGGGGTGCTGGGATCGGAGCTTGAGACCCCCGCTACCCCCGGGGCAGGGCACCGCGGTCCTCAGCGCCACAATAAAGGCTCTTTATTGCATTGGCATCACTGCGGGGATGAAGGGACCGGGAGAGCACCGGGTACCGCTATGGGCCCGTTTGCCCTCAACAAAGATGGCGGCCGCCGCCCGGTGGCGTTGAGGAAGCAGGGAGGGGGGGAAGTGCCCGATTCCAATATGGCCGCCGAGGCGTCGCCGTGTGCGTGCGGCGCGCGGTGACGTCATCACGCGGCGACCAGCGTGAGGGGGCAGCGTGGAGGATGGAGGAGGAAGGGGAGGGGACCCCGGTACCGGGCAATGGAGGGAGCGGAGCCGCGGCCCCGGCCCCGGCCCCGGCCCCGGTCCGGAGGCGTCGGAAAGCGGCCAAGAAGCGGAAGGAGGCGGCGGCCGCGATCCCGAGGGGCAAACCCAAGTCAGGGCGGGTGTGGAAGGACCCCGGCAAGAAGAGGTCTGGGGGGGGTTTGGTGATGGGAAGGGGTTTGGGGGGGATTTGGTGATGGGAAGGGGTTTGGGGGGGGTTGGTGATGGGAAGGGGTTTGGGGGGGGTTTGGTGATGGGAAGGGGTTTGGGAGGGGTTTGGTGATGGGAAGGGGTTTGGGGGGGGTTGGTGATGGGAAGGGGTTTGGGGGGGGTTTGGTGATGGGAAGGGGTTTGGGGGGGCTGTGGGATGGGAAGGGGTTGGGGGGGTTGGTGATGGGAAGGGGTTTGGGGGGGGTTTGGTGATGGGAAGGGGTTTGGGGGGGGTTTGGTGATGGGAATGGGTTTGGGGGGTTTGGTGATGGGGTTTGGGGGGGGTTTGGTGATGGGAAGGGGTTTGGGGGGGGTTTGGTGATGGGAAGGGGTTTTGGGGGGGTTTGGTGATGGGAAGGGGTTTGGGGGGGATTTGGTGATGGGAAGGGGTGGTTTGGGGGGGATTTGGTGATGGGAAGGGGTTTGGGGGGGGTTGGTGATGGGAAGGGGTTTGGGGGGGTTTGGTGATGGGAAGGGGTTTGGGGGGGGTTTGGTGATGGGAAGGGGTTTGGGAGGGGTTTGGTGATGGGAAGGGGTTTGGGGTGTCCCCAACACAAGGGGGACCTGCAGCTGATGGAGCAAGCCCATGGGGATGCTGCGAGGATGCTGTGCCCATTGCATCCCTCGGGGTCTCCATAGGCTTAGGAAGGGGAAGGCTTGGATGAGCCGAGGCCGTTGCAAAGAGGGGGGGTCCCTGCCTCAGCTCTGCCTCCTTTCCCCCCCCTTCCATCCCCAGGTTCTCCCACATGATCCAGGACAAGGCCCTGCGCAGCTCCTGGCCTCGGAAGCTGCGGGAGCGGCAGGAGAAGAAGCTGGTGCAGGCCCTGGCTCGGCAGCTGCAGGATGGGAAGAGGAGGGAGAGAGAGGTACCAGGGTCCCCCCCCAACACATTATCCCTATGGAGCATCAGCACCATGGGGAAGGAGATGCTGTGGTCCAGGGTGGGTTACACAGGAGGCATCCAGAGAGGGATGCTCTGCATCCCACCCTGCACCAGGGCTGTGGTACCCTCAGCATCAATAAGCTCCTATTCATGGTTCTGGTTCTGTTCATTGCCATTGCTCCTGCTGGGCCTCCCCCTGGTGCACTGAGGGGATCCCCTCTCAGGCTCCACATGAATCAGACCCAGTCTCCCCTTTAAGATGCTCCAGCCCCTGAGCATCCCTCTGGTCTCTGGGACTGGGACACAGGGCTCCAGCCATGGCATCCCCATGGTTCAATAGAGCAGCATCACCTCCCCAGGCTCCTGATGCATCCCAGGGTGCTCATGGAACAGGAAGCTGCTCATGGTTAAGCCATCACCCCCCCAACCAGGTCCTTGCCAGTGGGGGGCACCCCCATTTACTGGTGCTTGGGGTTCTGCCTCCTCTTGCCCTTGTGGGGCCTCAGGAGGTTTCTCCCCTATGGGGGGGTCCTGTTTGTGGCAGCACAGCTTGAGGTGGCCCCAGCTCTGCCCCATGGAGGGGGCATTGATGAGTTCAGTAGGAGCAGACCCAGCGTTGATCCCTTGGGAATACCATGGCAAGCCTCCAAGTGGGTCCTGCCCCACTGATCCCAACCCTCTGGGCCACTCGGCCGCTTCCCTGTCCCATCCATCCAACCCCTGCTTCCTGAGCTGGTACCCAAGGATGCGATGGGAGACGGTGCCGAAAGCCTCCTGTGGTCCAGGGGGATGCCATCCATCATGCCATGGCATCATAGGAAGGTGCTGGGTTGATGTGGCAACACCAATCCAAGGGGATGCCCCATTCCCTTTGCTTGGATGAGCTCAGGACCACATCGCAGGGTCAGGATCCTTCCACCTCCCCATGTGTGTGCCCCCATCCAGGGGCTGTGGCACCATGGGATGAGCGGGGCAAAGCCCTGCAGTGAGCACAGATGCTTCCAGGGAGCAGCTGGGATGGGGAATTCCCTGTGGTGGAGCCGAATTCCCTATGGAATTCCAGTGTCAGCTCCAGCGTGGAGCAAGGAGGATGCTGTTTGTGCCGCAGGGTCCAAGCTGTGCAGTTCCTGATGGGGAGGATGGGATGGGGTTGGGGATGCTGTTGGTGTGGGATCATTTGGGAAGTGGGAATCAGCAGGGAATGTTCCCATAGGAGAAGAAGAGGCGGCGAGAGGAGAACATGAAGCGGAGGCTGGAGAATGAGCGCAAGGCGGAGATCGTGCAAGTGGTGAGTGACCAGGGCATCACCAGAGCCCTCAGTGCTCCAGGGCCCAGAATCCCAGCATCCCAAGGCTTGGAAAGGGACCTCAAGAGATCATCAGGTCCAATCCCCTACAAGAGCAGGGAAACAGAGTACATCCCATGGGAACTTGGGTATCCCCAACATAGGAGACTCCACAACCTGGTCCAGTGCTCTGTCACTCTCACAGTAAAGATCCTCCTCATGTTCACATGGAACCTCCTATGCTCCAGTTTACACCCATTGCCCCTTGTCCCAGCACTGGACATCACTGGAAAAACCTACCTGATGCTCACCCTTTATTTATAAGCATTGATGGGGTCACCCCTCAGTCTCCTCTATAGAGACCCAGCTCCATCAGCCTCTCATAAGGGAGATGCTCCAGGCTCTGTGCTGGCCTCTTCCAAGCAATTCCCTGTCCTTCTTGAACTGAGGGGCCCAGAACTGGACCCAGTATTCCAGATGGGGTCTCACCAGGGCTGAGTAGAGGGGAAGGAGGACCTCTCTTGCCCTACTAACCACCCCCTTTCTAATGCACCATTGGCCTTGTTGGCCACAAAGGCACATTGCTGGCTCATGGGCATCCTTCTATCCACCAGCACCCCCAGGTCCCTTTCCCATTGACTCCTTTCCAGCAGGTCAACCCCATCCTATACTGGTCCATGGGGTTGTTCCTGCCCAGATGCAGGACTCTACACTTACCCTTGTTGAATTGCATCACGTTATTCCCTATCTAGGTCCTGTTGTGGCAGCCTCCCTTAGTTTAGCATCATCAGTGAACTTGCTGAGGGTACCCTCAGTTCCCCCATCCAGGTCATTGATGAGGGTATTAAACAGCACTGGTCCCAGCATCAACCCCTGAGGTCCTATCCCTGCATCCCATGGGAAGAGCCCTAAGGCCATAACTGCATTGGGAAGGGCTCCTCTGTGCCTGGATAAGCCCATAGCAGGGATGAGAGCACTGAGGCTGCGTTTGCATGGAGGGAAGTTGGGGTTTTCCTTATGGAAGAGCCTTGGGAGCTGTTGGAGCATCCCCATGGAAGAGTTTGAAGATGAAATACCCAGGTCCTGGTGCCAAGGGTTCCCCTTTAAGGCACCGGAGCAGGGTGGGAAGCTGGGATCTGGAGCCCTTTTCCTCCTCCTTCTCCTCCAGATCCGGAACCCTCTGAAGCTGAAGCGAGCCAAGAAGAAGCACCTGAGGCGGGTGGAGAAGAGGGATACCCTGGCCCTGCTCCAGAAGGAACCCATCAGGAGCAAAGCAGCCATGGAATGAGCCGGGAATCACCTCCATGCTCTGTGGGTCCTGCTGCCCGCCCCATAAGCTGGATGCAATGGGGCAGAGCTGGGGTGGGCTCTGCATCCCTATGGCTCCAAGGGTCCTGTCCTGCCTTTGGAGAGCGCAGGTTGGGGCTGGAAGAATGGCTTCAAATGGCCCAAATCTGCCTTTTTTTGTACCAAAATGAGTAGGAACTGAACCCAAAATCCCCTCCCAATGGCTTTGTGTGGTGGTGATGGGGCCGCTTTGGGGTCTCCTCTGTGCTAAATAAAGGAGCTCATCTCCATTGGGACGATGATCTCCCATCCATCCCGTTGGGAATGAGCCCTGGAGCGCATCCCAAAGGAAGGGGGTTTGTTTCTGCTGCCCTATGGGGATGGGAAGGGAATGTGGGGCTGGAATCTCTTCATATTCCTGGTTTTTCTTGCTGTATGAGCACCCCATTCTCCATCCCTCTTGAGGGTGTCACTGGGTGGTTCCAATGGGATAAAGCCCTGGAATGGGAGCACGTGGTGGTACCCAGCTCCATCCTTGTGGGAACACCGTGGGCCTATGGGATGAACAGGAAGGTTAAGGAAGGGTTAATCACAGCTGGAGGGACCCCAATGTGTGGGGCAGAGCTTGATGTAGCCCCATGGAGCAGCATTGGGGATGGGGATCCCTTTGAGGGCTTCCAGAGGCAAGGAAGGCGGCGTCTATGGGGTGCACTGGGGTGGTTGCCAACGGGTCATAGGGCAGAAGGGCTTTGCCCTCGTTGCTTCCTGGTTAATGAATGATTCCCAAGGCATGGAAAAGCCCAACCTCTTCCACCACCTCCCTCCCTACACTTCCTAACCAGCCTTTGCCCTGCTGGTAAGAGGTGAGGGTTGGAAGGGGGGGGGGGGGTGGTTTGGAGCCCATCCCCGTGGCGTCGGGGCGGCTGTTGTTCCTAATGGGGTCTATGCGGTGTCCCCTAACCAGGGTTGGGATAGAGCCAGTGTTCTTGCTGGGATCTCTGCCTGTATGGGAATGGGGGGCCCATAGATGGGGCAACCCCCCTTGCCCTTTGTCCCCTTGCCCATGGTTTTGGGGTGCAGAGGAGGAGGATGGGGAGGGGGAAAAGTGGGTGCTGGGGGTGGGGGAGAGGAGTAAAAGGGGTGTCCCTGTTGTTAGAGGGGGTGTCAATGGGGTGATGCTGCCCCTTGGATGCTGCATCCAGCCCTGATGTGCCCAGTATCAGGACATGGGGATGCTCTGGGGATGGAGCAGGTCCCGGATGGAGCCAGGCTGGGAGCACTGGGGCTGTGTGGGGAGCTCAGAGCAGCTCCAGTGTGTGAAGGGGATACAGGGATGCTGGGGATGGATTCTCCATCAGGGATGGGAGTGATGGATGAGGGGTGATGGGGATGCAGGGATGCTGGGGATGGATTCTCCATCAGGGATGGGAGTGATGGGATGAGGGGTGATGGGGATGCAGGGATGCTGGGGATGGATTCTCCATCAGGGATGGGAGTGATGGGATGAGGGGTGATGGGTTCAGAGTGAAACAGGGGGGATGCAGCTTAGATGTAAGGAAGGAATCCTTCATTATGAGGGTGCCCAGAGAGGCTGTGGCTGCCCCATCCCATGGGCTTGGAGCACCCTGCTCCAGTGGAAGGGGTTGGGGTCAGAGCTGGATCCCCCCCCATACCATAACCAGGATGCTCCTCTCCATCCCCATAGGTGCCCCATGGTGGAGGTGACGGTGACGCCGCGCTCCTCCCTCGCCGACCGCCCCATCCGGGTGCTGGTGCGGGGCCTGTCCCCATCCCAGCTCATCACCCTACGGGCCTGGCTCCGGGATGAGCAAGGGGAACGCTTCCAAGCCCGGGCCTTCTTCCGTGCGGATGCTATGGGCGAGGTGGACCCCGGGTACCAACCTGCCCTTGGTGGTACCTACAGAGGCCTCTCCCCTATGGGGCTGCTGTGGTCCCTGCAGCCGGATACCCCCTTCCGCCGCCTGCTCAAGAGGGATGTGACCGGCAGCCCCTTCCGCATCCATGTGGAAGCCTTCGATGGCGTCCTCCTCGTCGATGGACCCCAGGACCGGCCCTTGGCTTCCTGTGAAGCCGAGCGTTGGTTTGTGGGTGCTGGGGTGCAGAGGGTGCCCATCAGGGAGGGCAGGGTCCGGGGGGCCCTCTTCTTGCCGCCTGGTGAGTAATGGGATGAGGGGGGAGCATCCATTGGGATGCGGGATGGAGCCGGTCCTCAGTGTGGATGCGGGGGGAGCATCCATTGGGATGCGGGATGGAGCCGGTCCTCAGTGTGGATGCAGGGGGAGCATCCATTGGGATGCGGGATGGAGCCGGTCCTCAGTGTGGATGAAGAGGGGGGAGCATCCATTGGGATGTGGGATGGAGGCGGTCCTCAGTGTGGATGAAGGAGGGGGGAGCATCCATTGGGATGCGGGATGGAGCTGGTCCTCAGTGTGGATGCAGGGGGAGCATCCATTGGGATGCACGATGGAGCCGGTCCTCGGTGTGGATGAAGGAGGGGGGAGCATCCATTGGGATGTGCGATGGAGCCGGTCCTCAGTGTGGATGCAGGGGGAGCATCCATTGGGATGCGGGATGGAGCCGGTCCTCAGTGTGGATGCGGGGGGAGCATCCATTGGGATGCGGGATGGAGCTGGTCCTCAGCGTGGATGCAGGGGGAGCATCCATTGGGATGCGGGATGGAGCCGGTCCTCAGTGTGGATGCTGGGGGAGCATCCATTGGGATGCGCGATGGAGCCGGTCCTCAGTGTGGATGCAGGGGGAGCATCCATTGGGATGCGGGATGGAGCCGGTCCTCAGCGTGGATGCAGGGGGAGCATCCATTGGGATGAGGGATGGAGCCGGTCCTCAGTGTGGATGCGGGGGGAGCATCCATTGGGATGTGCGATGGAGCCGGTCCTCAGTGTGGATGCAGGGGGAGCATCCATTGGGATGCACGATGGAGCCGGTCCTCAGTGTGGATGTGGGGGGAGCATCCATTGGGATGCAAAATGGAGCTGGTCCTCAGTGTGGATGCAGGGGGAGCATCCATTGGGATGCGGGATGGAACCAGTCCTCAGTGTGGATGCAGGGGGAGCATCCATTGGGATGCGCGATGGAACCGGTCCTCAGTGTGGATGCAGGGGGAGCATCCATTGGGATGCGCGATGGAGCCGGTCCTCAGTGTGGATGCAGGGGGAGCATCCATTGGGATGCGGGATGGAGCCGGTCCTCAGTGTGGATGCAGGGGGAGCATCCATTGGGATGCGCGATGGAGCCGGTCCTCAGTGTGGATGCAGGGGGAGCATCCATTGGGATGCGCGATGGAGCCGGTCCTCAGTGTGGATGCAGGGGGAGCATCCATTGGGATGCACGATGGAGCCGGTCCTCAGTGTGGATGCAGGGGGAGCATCCATTGGGATGCGCGATGGAGCCGGTCCTCAGTGTGGATGCAGGGGGAGCATCCATTGGGATGCGGGATGGAGCCGGTCCTCAGTGTGGATGCAGGGGGAGCATCCATTGGGATGCGGGATGGAGCCGGTCCTCAGTGTGGATGCAGGGGGAGCATCCATTGGGATGCGCAATGGAGCCGGTCCTCAGTGTGGATGCAGGGGGAGCATCCATTGGGATGCGGGATGGAGCCGGTCCTTAGGGTGGATGCGGGAGGAGCATCCATTGGGATGCACAATGGAGCTGGTCCTCAGTGTGGATGCAGGGGGAGCATCCATTGGGATGCACGATGGAGCCGGTCCTCAGTGTGGATGCTGGGGGGGAGCATCCATTGGGATGCGCGATGGAGCCGGTCCTCAGTGTGGATGCAGGGGGAGCATCCATTGGGATGCGGGATGGAACCAGTCCTCAGTGTGGATGCGGGGGGAGCATCCATTGGGATGCGGGATGGAGCCGGTCCTCAGTGTGGATGCAGGGGGAGCATCCATTGGGATGTGCGATGGAGCCGGTCCTCAGTGTGGATGCAGGGGGAGCATCCATTGGGATGAGGGATGGAGCCGGTCCTCAGTGTGGATGCAGGGGGGAGCATCCATTGGGATGCACAATGGAGCTGGTCCTCAGTGTGGATGCAGGGGGAGCACCCATTGGGATGCACGATGGAGCCGGTCCTCAGTGTGGATGCAGGGGGAGCATCCATTGGGATGCGGGATGGAACCGGTCCTCAGTGTGGATGCGGGGGGAGCATCCATTGGGATGCACGATGCCGCCAGCTCTCAGTGATGATTCCTGGGGTTCCCCCACAGGCCCAGGCCCCTTCCCGGGCGTCGTGGACCTCTTTGGGGGTGCAGGAGGTCTCATTGAGTTCCGAGCGGGGCTCTTGGCCAGCCGGGGCTTTGCGGTGCTGGCTTTGGCTTTCTTTGCCTATGAGGACCTGCCCCGCACCATGGCCCTGCTGGACCTCAACTACTTCGAGGAGGCGACAGCGGTGCTGCTGCAGCACCCCAAGGTGAGCACCCATCAGTGGGGTACGGGGTGCGGGTGCGGTGGCCGCAGCACCAACGCATCCCATGGAGCATCCCAATGCACGGCGCTCCCATTGCAGGTGCGAGGCCCTGGGTTGGGCGTCATCGGTGTCTCCAAAGGAGCAGAGGTGGCTTTGGCCATGGCTTCCTTCCTGCCGTCGGTGGTGGCCACGGTGTGGATCAACGGCACCGCTTTCCTCCATGGCAACCCTTTGGTCTACAAGGACCTCCGCATCCCCGCTATTCCCTATGGGATCGAGCGCGTCCTCATCACCGAGATGGGCGCTTTGGATAACTCCGCTGTCCTCAATGACCCCCAGCGCCCCATTCCCAGCTCCTCGGCCATCCCAGTGGAGAGGATCAATGGGAAGGTGCTGTTTATAGTGGGAGAAGCCGACCGCAGCCTCAACAGCAAGCTCTATGCCAAGCTGGCCATGGCACGGATGCAGCCGGAGCATGGGCGCATCCTGTCCTACCCTGGGGCCGGGCACCTCATTGAGCCCCCTTGCTCCCCACTTTGCAGCATGTCCTGCATCAAGGGGAGCCCCCGACCCCTGCTTTGGGGGGGTGAAGCCAAGGCCCATGCCAGGGCTCAGGAACACTCATGGGAGGAGATGATCCGCTTCCTAGCGCACGAGCTGGGATGTGCTGGGGCGAAGCTGTGATGGGGATGGGGAAAGGGATGCCCTTAATAAAGGTTGGGCTCGGAGTGATGCTGCCTGGTGCTGTATGGGATTGGGGGGGGCACCATGGAGGAGCCCTATGGGAGGTTTCCCATTGGGAATACTGCAGGTAGAGGGGAGGGATGGCTTTAACCCCACAAAGGATGAGGGTGGGATGGATGGTGGCAAATGGGCTTTGAGGGATGTGTGGGGAGCTCAGAGCATCTTCCACTGTCCTAAGGGGATACAGGGATGCTGGGGGGGGGGGATTCTTCATCAGGGATGGGATCAGACTGGAATGGATTAGGTGGGATCTAAGGAAGTTCCTTGCTCCGTTCCCATTCCCTATTCCCAAAGCCTCCAGTCCCTGCCCGCTCGCCCCGGCCATGGGAGGTGAGCACAGCCCTAGGGCAATGAGGTCAGTGCTGCTGGGCAGAGGAGCGAGGAGCCCTGGCACCCTCGCAGCATTCCAGGGGTGGGGAACGCGGCGCATTCCATGCAGCCGGGGATAAAAGCCCCGGTGCTGATCCCTGCTCCGTGCTCACCATGGGCTGGAGCTGCTCCATGCGGCTCCTGCTGCTGCTGCTGCTGCTGGGTCCTGGAGCCCTCTCCCTCCTGCGCTACCGGTACGAGTGCAGGGAGCAGCGGATGCAGCTGGAGGCGCATCCCAGCCGTGGGCGCAGCGCCCGCATCAGGGTCCTGGGTGAGTGGGGATGGGGTCCCTATGGGGCAGGGGTGGGGAAAGGGGAACGGAGTGAAGCTGGGGGGGGATTGGGTGAGCTTTGAGGTCCCTTCATCCCACTGCATCCCATGGATCCCATTATCCCCCCCATACAGATGAGCTCGGGAGCCCCTTCGACGTGGCCAACTGCTCCATCTGCCTCCATTGGCTCCACAGCAGAGCAGATGGTGCCATCGTCTTCTCCTCTGGCTATGAGGGATGCCATGTGCTGCTGAAGGTGAGGCTCCATCACTTCCATCACCCCCCAATGCAGTGCTATGGGGCTGGGGGTCACTGTTATCCCCCCCATCCACCCTGCCCCATTGCAGGAGGACCACTACATCCTACGGGTGCAGCTGGAGGAGATGCTACCCAATGGAGCCCCACTCAGCTCCTATGAGGTGAACATGACCTGTCCTCAGCCCCCTGGCAACGAGCATCCCGCTGGTGGCCATGGCAACGGCATCCGCCACAGCCAGCCTGGGGTCCCGGTCCCCCTGTCCCAGCCGGGCCTCCTGCACCAAGCATCCCAATCCTCCATCAGCATCCCGGGATCCCAGCTCATGTCCCAAGTGCACCAGGAGCAGGTTCCCCCCCTGGCACGGGCAGAGCCCCAGGAGCAGCCGGGAATGGGGCATCCCGGGGCTCAGCATCAACCGGGGCGGCTTCATTCAGTGCTTCAGACCCACAACCAGCCCGGGCTGATGCATTCTATGGGTCAGAATCAAGCAGGTCAGGTCCGTCCTGGGGTCCAGACCCAAACCCAACCTGGGCTGATGCATTCTATGGGTCAGAATCAAGCAGGTCAGGTCCGTCCTGGGGTCCAGACCCAAACCCAACCTGGTCTGATGCATTCTATGGGTCAGAATCAAGCAGGTCTCGTCCGTCCTGCGGTCCAGACCCACAACCAACCTGGTCTGATGCATTCTATGGGTCAGAATCAACCGGGTCTTGTCCGTCCTGGGGTCCAGACCCAAGCCCAACCTGGTCTGATGCATTCTATGGGTCAGAATCAACCGGGTCTTGTCCATCCTAGGGTCCAGACCCACAACCAACCTGGACTGATGCATTCTATGGGTCAGAATCAACCGGGTCTTGTCCATCCTAGGGTCCAGACCCAAACCCAACCTGGTCTGATGCATTCTATGGGTCAGAATCAACCGGGTCAGGTCCGTCCTGGGGTCCAGACCCACAACCAACCCAGTCTGATGCATTCTATGGGTCAGAATCAACCAGGTCACGTCCATCCTGCACTCCAGACCCACAACCAACCTGCTCTGGTGCATCCCAGGGCTCCAACTCAACCAGGGCACCTTCGCCCTGGGGTGCAGACCCAAACCCACCCTGTTCTGGTGCACCAAAGGGCTCAGACTCAAGCAGGAGCCCTTCGTGCAGGGCTTGCACCCCAAAACCAGCCCGGGTTGGTGCAGGGCACCGGTGCCTTCATGCACACTGGTGCTCAGACCCACACGGGCTTCATACGCCCTGGGGCTCACCCCCCAAACCAGCCGGGTTTAACCCATCCCAACCCTCAGCCCCATTCCCAAGGGAACCGTGTCCATGCTGGGCTCCAGAGCCAAACTGGGCTGATCCATCCAAGCCATTCCCAACCGGGTCTATCCCATCCCGGGCTCCAATCCCGCCCGGGTTTGATGCGCCCTGGTCTCCATGCTCAGCCCCAACCGGGTTTGGGGCGCCCAGGACTCCAGCCCCAAGCCCAGCCTGGTTTGATGCGGCCTGGCCTTCAATCCCAACCCAGTCTGCTGCAATCCACAGCCCTCTTCTACCCATCAGCAGGGGCAGGTAAGCGGATGGGATGGGTCAATGGGATGGGATGGGTACCCCTGGACCAGTGGGATGCAGGGATGCTGAGGGCCCTTTGTGCCATGCCAGGTACCCCATTGAGCCGTGAGCAGTGCCAAGTGGCCGTGGGGAGGATGCCCTGTGTGGCACCACAGGGCCGGGATGCGTGTCTGCAGGCGGGATGCTGCTACGATGACATGGACCGGGCTGCGCCCTGTTACTATGGCAACACTGGTAGGATGCTCAGGGCAAAGGGAGGGATGTGCCATCACCTGCATCCCTGGTTGGAAGCTGCTGGGTGGATAAATGGGGTTGGAGGTGCCCCTTTAGAAGGGAGATTGGGACTGGTTTGAAAGCCAAAGGTGTTGGGACAGGATGCTCGGGGCAATGGGAGGGATGTGCCATCACCTGCATCCCTGGTTGGAAGCTGCTGGGTGGATGAATGGGGCTGAAGTGCCCCTTTAGAAGGGAGATTGGGACTGGTTTGAAAGCCAAAGGTGTTGGGACAGGATGCTCGGGGCAAGGGGAGGGATGTGCCATCACCTGCATCCCTGGTTGGAAGCTGCTGGGTGGATAAATGGGGTTGGAAGTGCCCCTTTAGAAGGGAGATTGGGACTGGTTTGAAAGCCAAAGGTGTTGGGACAGGATGCTCGGGGCAAAGGGAGGGATGTGCCATCACCTGCATCCCTGGTTGGAAGCTGCTGGGTGGATAAATGGGGTTGGAAGTGCCCCTTTAAAAGGGAGATTGGGACTGGTTTGAAAGCCAAAGGTGTTGGGACAGGATGCTCGGGGCAAAGGGAGGGATGTGCCATCACCTGCATCCCTGGTTGGAAGCTGCTGGGTGGATAAATGGGGCTGGAAGTGCCCCTTTAGAAGGGAGATTGGGACTGGTTTGAAAGCCAAAGGTGTTGGGACAGGATGCTCGGGGCAAGTTGGGACAGGATGCAAGGTTCAAGGCCAGGCTGGACACAGGGGCTTGGAGTATCCTGGACCATCAGGGATGCCCATGGCACTGGATGAGCATGAAGCCCCCTTCCATGCCATGTCTCCATGGGGCTGTGCTGATGGGCTCGCTCCCTGTCGCCATAGCAACGGTGCAGTGCCTGCTGGATGCTCACTTCGTGCTGGTGGTACCAAGGGGGCTCAGCACCCAGCCCTACAACCTGGACAGCGTGCGCCTGGCCAGCAACCAGCCCGGCTGCGAGCCCCTCCGCATCACCGAGGCCTTCGTCATGTTCCGCTTCGCCGTCACCCAATGCGGGACCACGGTGCAGGTGGGGATGCGGTGGCACCCATCATCATCACCATCATCATCATCATCATCATCATCATCATCGCAGCATCCTCACCCCCATCTCTGTGCCCACCCCAGGCCATCGAGGACCGGCTCATCTATGAGAACCAGCTCATCTCCACCATCGATGTGCAGGGGTCCCCCCGTGGCTCCATCACACGGGACAGCATCTACATGTGAGATACCAGCATCCCCCTTACCTCCAGCATCCTTCCTCCTGCTGGGCCTTCATACTGGGGCCATGGACCAGTTCCTCTTTGGCTCCAGAGGCAATGGAAAAGATGGGGAGGGGGGGATCACCAATCTCTACCCTGCTCCCACAGCCTCCAAGCCCGCTGCATCTACAACGCCAGCGAGCTCCTACCCCTCCGCATGGAGGTTGCCATCCCCACCACTGCAGCCCCAGTGGCCAGGCTGGGCCCACTGGGGCTCCAGTTGCGCATCGCCACTGGTGAGCAACGCATCCGCTGGTCCCCTTCATCCCGGGTATCCCCCCCCCTTATCCCTCTCAGCTTCTCCCCATGCCCATAGATGAGAGCTACAGCTCCTACCACCCCGCTGGTGACTTCCCCCTGGTGAAGGTGCTGAGGGACCCCATCTACGTGGAGGTTCGGCTCCTGCAGAAGACAGACCCCAACCTGGTGCTGGTGCTGCACCATTGCTGGGCATCCCCCAGCACCGAGCCCACGGCCGAGCCCCAATGGCCCATCCTGGTGGAGGGGTGAGCAGAGGGCAACAAGAGGATGGAGATGGGGGTTTGGTGGGGGGGAACCCGCGTTAACCTAAAGGTCCCTTTGGCACCCCAAGGTGCCCCTTTGAAGGGGATAACTACAGGACGCAGCTTGTGCCGGTTGGACCAGCATCCCCACAGGTCCCATTCCCCAGTCATTACCAGCGCTTCGTCATCTCCACCTTCACCTTCGTGGAACCCCCATCCATGGCAGTGCTGGAGGGAGAGGTGAGGGGTGAATGGGGCTCTATGGGGCTCAGGGACCCTTCTATGGGGCCCTGCAGCCTGATGGAGCCCATGTGTGGGTCGCAGGTGTTCATCTCCTGCAGTGCCTCCGTCTGCCACTTGGCCCAGCCTGAACCCTGCCGCCCCTCCTGCCACCTCGGGGTGCCCTCACGTGAGTCCTGGGGGGGCCTGGGGTGGGGAAGGGACCCCCCCCTTTTTTGTGTCCCCCCAAACCAAGGCCCCTTGTCCCTCCCCAGGAGCACGGCGGGCAACGAGGGCCAGAAGCGGAGCCATGGGCACGGTCAGCTCCCAGGGCAGCATCGCCTTCCCCATGGTGGCCAAGGTGGGAGGAGGGGGATGAAGGCCCTGCTCTTCCTCAGCCTTCATCCCTGCTGCTGCACCATCAAATAAAGCCCCTGGAGCATGGATGGAGGGGATGCTTTGTGCCTAAAAGGGGGGGTAGGAAGGAGGAAAAGGGTCCCATGGCAGGCCCCCATCTCAGCCCCCCCATCCCAAGCCCAATGGAGCACAGAGGATGATGAAGAGCTCTTTATTTCCCCCATAAAGCCACATAATGGATACAAACCCTACCCATTCCCCCCCCATCCTCATTCCCCAGTGCCACGGTCCGATCCCAACCCCAAACCCAGAGCTAAAGGCAGGGATGAAAACACACACAGGAGGCTGCAAAGCAAAACCCACCTCAAACCACCCCAGGAAGGCCAAAACCCTAAGAGCTACTGAGGAGAGCCTGGAGAAGGGATGATCCCGGCTCCCTCCCCTACCCCATCCCGGATTCCCCATCCCTCTATCCCAAACCCCACATTGAGACCCCAGCTCCGTGGCTACAGGCTGTAGAACTTGAGGCTTCGGTCCATGCCCGTGGAGGCGATGAACTTGGCGTGGTGGCCAAAAGCCACCCCTGTGGTGAGGCCACTGTGCTCTGGGGAGGGAAGAGAGCATAGGGAATGGTTGCAGGAGGTAGCACTGAGGGTGCACAGACTGGTTGTGATGGGGCTCACCTGTGAAGTGGAGGATCTCAGTCCACTGCTTGCAGATGTAGATCTGCACATCCGTCCCACCCAGAGCCAGGTAGGTACCGCTCTGGTCAAAGATGAGAGACTTCACCTATGGAGGAGAAGGGGAAAGAGGCTCCCATGCAGCTCAGGATCACAGCATCACAGTATGGTAGAGATTGGAAGGGACCTCATAAGATCATCCAGCCCAATCCCCCTATGGAGCAGGAACACCTAGATAAGGTTTTGAATGTCTCCAGAGAAGGAGACCCCACAACCTCCCTGGGCAGCCTGGTCCAGTGTTCTGTCACCTCACTGAGAAGAGGTTTAAGTGGAACCTCTTGTGTTCCAGTTTGTACCCATTGCCCCTTGTCCTATCATTGTTTGCCACTGAGAAGAGCCTGGCTCCATCCTCGGGACACTCCCCCTTTATATATTTATATACACTAATAAGGTCACCCCTCAGTCTCCTCTTCTCCAAACTATAGAGACCCAGCTCCCTCAGTCTTTCCTCATAAGGGAGATGCTCCACTCCCTTCATCATCTCAGTTGCCCTGCGCTGGACTCTCTCCAGCAGGTCCCTGTCCTTTTTAAACTGAGGGGCCCAGAACTGGACCCCATATTCCAGATGGGGTCTCACCAGGGCTGAGTAGAGGGGAAGGAGGACCTCTCTCGACCTACTAACCACCCCCCTTCTAATACACCCCAGGATGCCATTGGCCTTCTTGGCCACAAGGGCACAGTGTCGGCTCATGGTCACCCTGTCGTCCACTAGACCCCCAGGTCCCTCTCTAACCGGTCGTTCCCCAGTCTATACTGGAACCTGGGGTTGTTCCTGCCCACATGCAGGACCCTACACTTTCCCTTGTTGTATTCCATCAAGTTATTCCCTGCCCAACTCTCCAGCCTGTCCAGGTCTCCAGGATGGCAGCACTGCCTTCTCCCAGCTTAGTGTCATCAGCAAACTCACTGATAGCACACTCAATTCCCTCATCTAAATCATTGATGAGTATATTAAACAATACTGGTCCCAGTATGGACCCTTGAGGCACTCCACTAGATACAGGCCTCCAACTAGACTCCCCCCCATAGCCTACATCTCTCTGCCTTCTCTCCTTCAGCCAGCTCACAGTCCACCTCACTACCCAATCACCCAACGATGCTCCAAAAGGGCGCTTTGGGATGCTCAGCACCTCCCAAGGATGCTCCTCCCTATGCAGCCCATGCCCCATCCCCATCCAGAGCACCAAGGGGATGCTCCCACCTCGAAGTTGTTTTCCAGCTGTAGGGTCTTGAAGTTCTTGAGCTTGCGGAGGTCCCAGAGCTTGACAGAGGAATCGTCTGCAGCAGTGGCCAGGTAGTAGCCGTTCTCTGAGAAGGCAATGCTGGTGATGGGGCCTGAGTGGCCTGGGAAGTTGGCCACGTTGGTGCGTTCCTAAGGGAAAAAGAGCTTGGAGCAAAAGGGAACTGCAGCACCCATGGATACTGGGGGAATAAGGAGGTGGGGATGGGGTCCTGAGTGGGTGATGTTGGGTTGGAACCATGGGCTCAGGGCTGGGTCCTGCGCTTGGGCCCCAATGGAACGGGGCAGGCTTGGGAAGGAGCTGCTGGAGCTGAGCAGGAGCAGCTTGAGCCCAAGGAGCCCCCAGCGTCCTGGCCTGCACCAGCACCAGTGCGGCAGCAGGAGCAGGGCAGGGACTGGGCCCCTGTGCTGGGCACTGGGGAGGCTGCACCTCGGATCCTGGGCTCAGCTCTGGGCCCCTCACTGCAAGAGAGACCTTGAGGGGCTGGAGCGGGGCCGGAGCAGGGCAATGGAGCTGGGGCAGGGCCTGGAGCCCAAGGGTGATGGGGAAGGGCTGAGGGAGCTGGGGGGTTCAGATGGAGAAGAGAAGGCTCAGGGGGGACCTGATGGCTGCCTCCAACTGCCTGACAGGAGGATGGAGCCAGGAGGGGCTGGGCTCTGCTCCCAAGGAACAAGGGATGGGACAAGAGGAACCGGCCTCAAGCTGCACCAGGGCAGGGTTAGATGGAGCTGAGGAACAATTCCTGCCCCAGAGGCATTGGAACAGGCTGCCCAGGGAACCGGCCCTGCAAGTGCTCCCAAACCCTATAGACGATGCCCTCAGTGCTATGGGTTGTGGTGGCCTTGGGGTTGGACTGGATGCTCTTAAAGCCCTTTCCCAGCCTGGTTGATGCCATGACTCCATGACCATCGCTCTGCTTCAGTCAGAACCAGGGTGGGTGAAGCAGCTGCTCCTGAGCTCAAGCTTTGTGGGTTCCAAACCCCCAAACTCCATGGATTGAACCCTCTGCAGGGCACTGAACCCCATCCCCTCCCAGAGCCCGTTTCTACCTTCAGATCCCAGATCTTGATCTGAGAGTCCATGGTTCCCGTTCCAAAGATGAGCCCATCCGGGTGGAACTGGGCACAGGTGAGAGCTGCAGAGACACAGGAACTGACTTGGGAAGAAGCTCTTCCCTATGAGGGTGCTGAGGCGCTGGCACAGGGTGCCCAGAGAAGCTGGGGCTGCCCCATCCCTTGCAGTGCTCAAGGCCAGGTTGGACCTGGGTAAGCCCCAAGGTCCCTTCCAACCCAAAATCCCCCTGGATTGGGAGGACTGGGAAGGATTCCTTTGCTCCCATCCCCATCAAGTCCTAGTGAGCTCCACGACATCAGGGACCCACAGGGAGGAAAATCCCTGCTCCAAAGCTCCCACAAGGGTTGGGATCCTCATCCCCATCCTTACCACAGCCAGAGCTCTCATCCGTCACCTTGGTGAGGACACGGCCTGTCTGGATGTCCGAGAAAGCCCAGTACTGGAGGGGAGGGAGAGCACAGTGAGGATGTGAGGATGAGGAGGAGGAAGGGGCTATGGAAAGGGCTAGGATCTCACCTGATCATCTGAGGAGCTCAGGAGGTAGTCACCCGTGGCATGGAGGCTCAGCCCTGTCACCGAGCCCTCATGGGCACGGACCACCTGCACACAGGAGGCGTTGGGGACCGACCAGATCCGGATGGTGGCATCAGGAGATGCTGAGAACACCAGGTCCTGGGGCACAGAGGGATGGAGGAGAAGGATGCTTGAGCTCCAGAGATCCCAATTGCAGTGTGGCTATGGGGGAAAAGGGGCCTGGGCACACCTGGGATGGGTGGAACACCACGCTGGTGACCTTCTTGGAATGCCCCTTGAGGGTGGCCAGGATCTGCTCCGAGCTCTTGTCGAAGACGATGACGTTTTTATCCGCCCCACCTGGGGAAAGGGAGCAGGGAATGAGGATGGATGGGAGCCTGCAGCCAAGCAGCTCCATGGCCCCCTCCAGTCCTGCTCCCAGCACTCAGAGAACCCCTCCTGTCCCTCATCCCAGTTCTATCCCCCCAATAGAATAGAAACAGGGACCTGCTCCCATAGAGCCCCAGCAAGCAGAGGGAGGGAGCCCTTTACCAGTGAGGATCTTGTTGGTGTCCGAAGGACACAGGTCCAAAGCCAGGATCCCTGGAATGCTGGCGCTGTGCAGCCCCTGTGTAACATGGAAGGACACCAGGTTAACCCCACCAGCACAAAAACAGCCCCATAAGGAACCAGGGAGCTCCTTTCCCCATGGGGAAGCATCTCCTGCAGCACAGCGAGCTGCATCCCCTTCAGTGCTCATCCCAGCTCCATGGGGCAGGTCCTGGCACTCACCACATGGGAAGCAACCTGCCGGTACTTGCTGAGCTCCTCCGGCTTCACCAGCTCCTCCGGCACCGTTTTCCCTCTCTGTGGAAGGGAAATGGGATGGGGATGGGCATCAGCATCCCTTGGAGGGCAGCATGTACCTGGGTGTTGGTTATTGGGGGGAAAGGGGGGCTCTCACCTTCTTCCTCTCCGTGGTGAGCACCGTGGCCTTGTCTTGGAGCTGCTCAAGAGAAGGGAGAGGTCAGGGATGGAGCAGGAGGGAAGGGAAGGGCTCAAAGGGTGCAGGAGAGAGACCCCGTTACCTTCTGGATGATCTCTGGGGTCATGCCTGCGAGCTCCCCCAGCTCCATGGGCTCCCCGGCTCCCTGCATGGGACACAGGGAATTGGGGGTGAGGTCCCCAAAGGGGGGAAGGAGGGGAAGGGGGGGGAAGGAAGGGAAATGGGGGGGACTCACGGCCACGTTGGGTTGGGAGGATGGCACCGCCTGGGGTACGATGAGCCCGGCCTGGGGCTTCAGGGTTGCCAGAGCTGGGGGGCAGAGAGGGCACGGGTGAGGGATGGGAATGGGAAGGGAGAGAGCGGCAGGGATGCCAAGCACAAACCCCAAAGGGATCCCAACCACTGCACCCAGTACCCAGTGCAGGGATCCCAGCACCCAGTGCAGTGA